CCCACTACCCCCACCACCCCCACCACCTTCACCACCCCCACCACCTGCACCACCTGTAGTAGTGGTAGTCGTTTGAGTGCAGGTGACGACTCGGCAGTCTGCAGTGGCATTGGATGAAGGGTTGTAAAGGGCTACAAAAGAAACGTTGTCTTGATTTTTGTAGAGTGTTTCGCCTTCAGTCTTTGATGGCGGAAGGCCAGTGAAGTTTTTGTAGGCTGCCTTCCAGTAATCAATTGTTTCCTTGCAATTGGGTTCCGTGTCATCTAAGGACTTGAAAGCATATGTTCCGTCTTGAAAAGGATTTGCTGGACTCGATCCAGCCATTGCTTCCGTTGCTTCCGTCTGAGCAAAGAAAGAAGATAATATTACAGTACAGAATAACCTTTGTTGTCGCGATATTGATCATATTTTGTTCAGCTTACTGGAATCAAATGCTTGCAAACTTTTGTCCACTCGTTGGTGTCGTCTAGCTCTGTTCCCTTTGGGTCGTTTAATTTATTGTCATCCGAAGCTGTTGTGAAGTTGGGCAGCCCAGCTGCCTCACGCGCAGCGTTGACCTCGCTAAGGCACTCGACATTTTGCCCTGCAGCGATTGCAGTCGGGCACAGCTGTATTTTGTGATGCTTCAGCTCGGGCTACTTCTGGAAAAATAGAATGGGTTTGAAGAAGTGGAGCAGTACTCACTTGTAGGAGTCGCCTGAGATCGTGTCTCTGTACTCCTGAAGGCAAGCCAGCCTACGCTTCAGTGTGAGGTGAACAAATGGGCAAAGGCATACTACTTACCGAGACTTGCAGTGTACTTGATAGTTGTTCCAGTTCCTGGTGAGGCACTGAGAGTTGAGGCGCTCTGCACCAATAACCAAATGCTGAGGAGTAGTGGTAGGCTCCAATGAAGCATTTTTGAGGAGGGACCTTCAAAAGTTACGGCTGCGAAAAAATTAGAAGAGTTTTGAAAAAGCAAGGCTTTTAGCTAAACTAGTGCCGAAGGAAGCTATATTAGCAGTCAAAGTTGCGTTCGCTGCTGGAGTCGGTGCTCCCTTCAAATCCGTTGCGAGCAATGCCGGCGTGGTGAAGAACGCGCAGCGCGGAACCTGAGATCCGCACTTGCACAGCTGCATCGCTTGAAATCCAGTCAAACTGTCAATTTAAAATTATGTTGTTTTGAGAATGTCCGTCAGCGTGAGTGTGGAGGGGGGACTTGAACGAAGGCGCTGCCCCAAATCTTTGTGGTCGCCTGAGCACTAGATCCTCACGGGAAGGCCAAGTGCACACAACTCTGCACATATCCTATTTTGCGGGAGTCATCCAGTCGATATATGAGTTTTTCAACGATTTATAAAATTTGTAAACCCAAAATGGTAATTGAGTTGCAGGTTTCAAGCTGTCTGTTGATCTCGAAGAGAGTTGGTTCGGAGCCGGTGTTTCTTGCGCGGCTCGACAGGCCGGGAGTGCACACTCCCTAGTCGCCAAAAATAGCGAACGTATCCAAACTATATTTTGCATTTTAAGAAGAAATGAAACGCTAGACGAGGCAAGGTCTCGGTTTCCTCGTCGCCTCAGCCCCTTTTGCCTATTCCCCGTGACAACCATCGGGTTCCCCTAAGCTCGAGAAAAGCGTCTTCTGCCAACAGCATAACACAGCCCAAAAGCTAATACAAATGCATGGAAGTCAACTGGCTGCTCCAAAGTTTCAATAACGAAGTGTGTATAGCAGGACGTAGTTGTTCCCTGCACCGCAGAGGCAGAACAAGATTACTCAACACCCATCAAAATCCCACTAGAAGCATCACAGGCAACACAAGTAATTTTATTCCATTAGCTAGTTTATTAACTGGGCAAGGAGATATGCTAGTGTGCCACCGTATAACCCAGCAGCATCCACATTCCTTTTCTTTTATAACGGAATCAGCAAATGATTGACTGGCGGTACAATGGCAGGCATAACATCTCATTCAAGAGAGATGGAACTTGAAACATCTGCGCCTTACCATCCCAGGTAAGGCCGCAACTATACACGGCTTGCATCACGCAGATCTGCGATGAAATTATGCGGCTAAGCTGGAACAAGCTTGCAAAGTGATTGTTTGGGGAAAATGGGAAAAGGCTTGTTGGCTGATGCGTGTTCCACGTCTCACGACGGCACCAGCAATCAGACAGTAAACGATGCTAGTGGCAGTTCTCAGATGGCAGCACGAAACATTATAAAATCATAACGCCGAAAGTGAGAATGGCAAGAGCAGCCAGGCTTGGAGCTGCTGTTGACCCGAAACCTGAGAGCGAAGAGATGATCCTGTCCCACTGCTCCTGCCTGCGAAATCCCAGCAACCGCATGCGCATTACGCACTCTAAAATACGGCAATCACAACCTCTTGAGCAGATCTGTGACGGAAAGGCCAACGTGTTACTTACGTGAATGGAGCGGAGGCGTCGCTTGCAAAAGCAGTAGGCATCGTCTTGCAAAGCAGGGCGTAGCCGTTTTTTGTAGTGTCGGTGCCCCCCTCCGCTGTTGCCATTAGAGCTCCTGGCGTTGCAGTAGAGGTATTCGTTTGAGTGCAAGTGACGACTCGGCAGTCTGCAATGGCATTAGATGAAGGGCTGTACAGAGCTACGAACGAAACTTTATCTTGATCATCGTACAGTGTTTCAGCATCATTCTTTGATGGCGGCAGTCCAGTAAAGTTTTTGTAGGCTGCCTTCCAGTAATCAACTGATTCCTTGCAGGTGGGTTGCTCGGCAGTTAGTGACTTGAAAGCATACCTTCCCTTTTCAAAGGGGTTCGCTGAGCTTGTCTTCGTTGTGGTTCCCGTTTGCTGCGTCAGAGAGAATGAAGACGAAAATTTTAGTGAAGAATGGCCTTGGGGTTCTCTACTCTCGAAGTATTATGCGGGACTTACTGGGATCAAATACTCGCAGAGCCTTTTCCACATTTCACCTAGTTCTTCCTCTGCTGGCTCCGGATCACTCAATTTATCTTGGTCTTCTGCATCTTTGAAGTCGTCCAGCCCAGCTGCCTCACGCGCAGCATTGATCTCGCTAAGGCACTCGACGCTTTTCCCTGCAGCAATGCAGTTGCATTCAGGTATATCTATATTGTTATCATTCACAAGTTGAGCCAATTTTTTGAAAGGTGAAATGAAATCAAAGTCGTCTAGTGAAACCCACCTTCAGAAATTGGTCCGGACTGTGTCTCCGTGGGGCCAAACACAAGCCGCCCTAAGGTTCAGCATAGAATGGGTGACAGAGTGAGGGTACATCGCTCACCAAGATGCAGTGTACTTCATTGTTTCTTCAGTTTCTTGTGAGTTGCCCAGAGTTGTGGAGCTCAGCACCAGAAATAAAATTCTGAGAAGTGGTGACAGTTTCCGCAGGAGCATCTTCGAGTGTTGGCATTAAAAATCGCGGATGCGAAATATTTACAGGAGAAACTATAAGAGCCCAACGCAATCAGAGAAGTTCAAGCAAGAAGGAGGTCGTGCAAAAAGAACGTATTTTGGGAACGAACACCTTGACTCGCGCTGCCCTCAATTCATCAAGGTGATCAGCTGTGACCACTGGCCCTCTGGGAACGTGCAGCACTGAAGTCTCGATCTGTGCTTGCAGAGCTGCACCGTTTGAAATTCAACCAGATTATAAATGTAAAACAATAGAAATTGGAATTTTCCTGCAGAAAAATTCTCAATCGGGGGGACTCAAACAAAGACACGTTTCTACAAAGCTTTGTGGCCACCTGATTAGTAGATTCACGAAAACACGTGAAGCCTGCGCCTCTACGCATGCCTTACGCTGTCAGCCAAAATTTATCCTCCAAGTAGCTTTTTTAATGGTGTGAAGCTTTTCCCATACTTTTCAAGATCAAAATGGTAAACGAGTTGGCCGGTGCATGCTGCGTGTTGATCTCGACGGGAGCTTGTCCGCCACTCCTGTTTGTTCCGCAGCTAAGCGACCCGAAGAAGAACTAACATCCCATGTGGAGCAAGGTGTCGGTTCTACCAAGGCTACGTGTCGTTTTGTCTCGTCCCGCTAACTAGGCTCGCATGCAACTACGCAGAGTGCACTCCGCCAACACACACAGAGCAGCATAGAAGCTGTCGCTTACCGCTGGTGGGCAGTGTGCTGTTCCAACAATGAAGCGTGTGTAGGAGGCGAATGCCGCAGCTGAGGAAGGTACTCATATTACCTCGAAACTCGTTATACTACCTCGAGGAACGGTAGACTTCGTAAATAATTCTTTTTATTGTACATGCAAAGTATACTATTTGTCCAAGGGGCCAAACTAGTGTGCCAGCATGCAACGCCTCATCATCACGTTTCCCTTTCTCTATCACCAAATCAGCGAATGACTGGCAGGCGCTACATTAGAAGCACAGTTTGTCATTGAAAAGAGCTGAAGCTGCAAACATAGGTTGTCATTGAAAAGAGCTGAAGCTGCAAACATATGTATCTCAGAACCCTAGAAAATGCAGTATGCATGTAGTGCTTCACGGAGTTGCGATTAACCTGTTGGGCACAAGTGGAAGAAGCCTGAGGAGCGATGGTTTGAAAAAGCACGGAAAAGTTTCCAGGTCGAAATATGTGCTATGCCCCAACAATGCACAAAAAATCAAACAGAGTACGGCGCAGGTTGCACTTTCCAGCTGGTAGGACGAGCATCAGAATAAAGTCGCGATGCCGAATGTCACACTGGCAAGAGCAACGAAACTTGGAGCTGCTATCAATGCGGAGCCTGTGAGGGAAGATATGATCCTGTCCCATTGCTCCTGCCTGCAAATCACCCGCAATGCCGTACACAAGATTCATTCCAACTCACAG